GACACGCACACTGACGCCTCGGCGTGCAGAATGAAACAGGATACGGGCGCGGAATACGGCCGCGGAAGAACACCTCGCACAGTGCCGGTCCGGCCGATCTCCGAACGGACGATTTCGCATTTCGTGGACAGCGAACGCCACCGCACGGGAGAGAGAGGTACCTTAAAAACGACGAAAACAAGCACCGACACCTTGGTTCTTTATATTTGCTGTAGTTACGGAACAAATCGACTTACATGAATAATTTGAATATTATTCGATTCCGTAATAAATTTAGAAGACACCAAGCGCAATACCTCTTATGTTTGAATTTATATAATTTTGTAAATTCGCCCCGAACGCTAGAGTGCCGAATTAGCCAATTTTGACCATTTTCACGATTTTTTAAAGAATATAATTAAATTTATGATGAAACATTTTTGCGCTTAGTGTCTCGATAATGACTCAATGTCTTTAAAGCCGAAATTTTCAAGAAGATCCGCGCAGCCTTTATTATGTGAGCATTTTTTTAATTTGGTGAAAAACCTCATGTATTTTCTATGGGGCTCTGAGGTGCGCCCCCTCTTAAAGTCACGTGACTACAGAAATGCATTCGTAAAAATTTTGCGGAAACCTAGATTTTTTTTTCTCATTTGTGCGGCGGAGATTTGCGCAGAGGCGATAGGCGTAACAGAAAAGAACCTGCGTCAGAGAATCAACATGAGAAAACAAAACAAAAAAAGTGAAAGCCGTTTACAACTCCCTGTAACACCGAATTAGAGCGCAGCTCTTGAGGAGGAGGAGGGAAGGGTACTGGGGGTGAAGTGACCTGGGGGGGGTCACGTGACGATGCCGATGATGTCATCAGTGACGTCACTGATGACGTCATCCGTGATGATGACGATGCGGATGCCGGTGACGTCACTGATGACGTCATCCGTGATGATGACGATGCGGATGCCGGTGACGTCATCAGTGACGTCACTGATGACATCATCAGTGATGATGACGATGCGAATGCCGGTGACGTCATCAGTGACGTCACTGATGACGTCATCAGTGACGATGACGATGCGGACTCCGATGACGTCGTCAGCGATGATGACGATGACGATGCGGATGTCGATGACGTCATCAGTGGCGTCACTGATGACGTAATCCGCGATGATGACGATGACGATGCGGATGCCGGTGACGTCATCAGTGACGTAACTGAGGACGTCATCAGTGATGATGACGATGACGATGCGGATGCCGGTGAGGTCATCAGTGACGTCACTGATGACGTCATCAGTGATGATGATGATGACGATGTGGATGCCGGTGACGTCATCAGTGACGATGACGTCATCGGGGAGGTCACGTGACGTCGGCGAGGGGGGTCACGTGACCCTAGGGGGTATCACGTGACCTCGGGGGGGTCACGTGACCTCGGGGGTCACGTGACTGGGTATCACGTGACCTTGGGGTCACGTGACCCTGGGGAAGGGGTCACGTGACCTCTGGGGGTCAGGTGACCTTGGGGTGACCTTGGGGACCACGTGACCTTGGGATGACCTTGGGGGGTCGCGTGACCTTGGGGTGACCTTGGTTACGCCGACGCCGACGGCGACGCCGACGGCGACGCCAACGGCGACGCCGCTCAAGCCGGAAACGGGCCCCTAAGAGCTGCGCTCTAAAATCAACATTAGAAAACAAAACAAAAAGTGAAAGCCGTTTACAAATCCCTGTAACGCCGAATTGGAGCGCAGCTCTTGAGGAGGAGGAGTGAAGGGTACTGAGGGGAGGGTAGACCCCTCCCCCTTCTCCTCCTCCCCTCATTCTTTAATATGCTCCGGGGGGGGTGTCACGTGACTTCGGGGAGGGGGTCACGTGACCTCGGGGAGGCGTGACCTGGGGGTGACCTCAAGGCCACGTGACCCCAAAGGTGACCCCCACGTGACCTTGGGGGTCACGTGACCTGGAGGGGTCACGTGACCTCGGGGGTCACGTGACCTCAGAGGGGTCACGTGACCTGGGGGTCACGTGGGGTCACGTGACCTTGAGATGACCTTGGAAGGGGTCACGTGACCTTGGGGGTCATGTGACCTCGGGGGTCACGTGACCTTGGGGAGGCGACCACGTGACCTCGGGGGTCACGTGACATCAGAGGGGTCACGTGACTTGGGGGTCACGTGACCTTCAAAGGGTCACGTGGGGTCATCTTGGGGTCACGTGACCTTGAGATGACCTTGGAAGGGGTCACGTGACCTTCAGGGGGTCACGTGACCTTGAGATGACCTTGGGAGGGGTCACGTGACCTTGGGGGGTCACGTGACCTTGGGATGACCTTGGTTACGCCGACGCCGACGGCGCCGCCGCTCAAGCCGGGAACGGGCCCCTAAGAGCTGCGCTCTAAAAGTAAAAGCCGTTTACAACTCCCTGTAACACCGAATTAGAGCGCAGCTCTTGAGGAGGAGGAGGGAAGGGTACTGGGGGGGTGAAGTGACCTGGGGGGGTCACGTGACCTTGGGGGGTCACGTGACGATGCCGATGATGTCATCAGTGACGTCACTGATGACGTCATCAGTGACGATGACGATGCGGACTCCGATGACGTCATCAGCGATGATGACGATGACGATACGGATGTCGGTGACGTCATCAGTGACGTCACTGATGACGTCATCTGTGATGATGACGATGCGGATGCTCCCCCCCCCGAAGTCACGTGACACCCCCAGGTCACGTGACCACCCCCAGGGTCACGTGACCTTCCCGATGACGTCATCGTCACTGATGACGTCACCGGCATCCGCATCGTTATCATCACTGATGACGTCATCAGTGACGTCACTGATGACCTCACCGGCATCCGCATCGTCATCGTAATCATCACTGATGACGTCATCAGTGACGTCACTGATGACGTCACTGGCATCCGCATCGTCATCGTCATCATCACTGATCACGTCATCAGTGACGTCACTGATGACCTCACCGGCATCCGCATCGTCATCGTCATCATCACTGATGACGTCATCAGTGATGATGACGATGACGATGCGGATGCCGGTGACGTCATCAGTGACGATGACGTCATCGGGGAGGTCACGTGACCTCGGCGGGGGTCACGTGACCGGGCGGGGGGGGTCACGTGACCTCGGGGGGTCACGTGACTTCAGGGGGGTCACGTGACTTTGGGTGTCGCAGGACCTTGGGGGTCACGTGACCTTGGGGGTCACGTGACCCTGGGGGAGGGGTCACGTGACCTTGGGGTGACCTTGGGGGTCTCGTGACCTTGGGGCGACCTTGGGATGACCTTGGGGGCCACGTGACCTTGGGATGACCTTGGTTACGACGACGCCGACGCCGACGGCGACGCCGACGCCGCTCAAGCCGGGAACGGGCCCCTAAGAGCTGCGCTCTAAAAGCCATGGTTATTAGTGCCGAACACGTTGGTACCCAGAAGCACGTTTGCCCCCCCCCCCCCCTTTCCTGTTTGTCTTCCTTCCGCCATGACCTGAGGTTTAGTGCCTGGCATACTCATTAACTTTCACGTCTCGTTGCACTTGCCGTTTATTACCGTTCGCTTTGCTTTGTGATATCTGGTGAAGACTAGGACTGGGCAATTTATGAATTACCCTACCGATTGATCAATGAATGTTTTAATTGCGATCAATATTTTTAACCGGTTAATTGGTAAACTTTTGACGAACCAAAAAAATTTACGGGGTCTCATAAGTTATCCCTAAGACGATTTGAAGGCGAAAGCCCGAGCGCCGATACATTAAAGACAGACACATGATTTACTTTGTTTCGTGTTCTCTTTTTTCACATTTTTTTTTTTTACATTCTCTTTATTTGCTTCATATGTTATTTAGAGATTTTCACGCACACAATTCCTCGTAGTCCTCTTACTTTTCTTTAATTCCTTTTAATTCACTTTAATTTATCTTAATTCCCTTTGATTGCTCTTAAATCACTTTGGTTGCTCTTAATTCGCTTTATAGCCCTTCTTAATTCCCCATTGATTACTCTTACTTCTCTTTAATTACTCTTAATTCACTTTCATTCCTCTTAATTAGCTTTGATTACTCTTAATTCGCTATGTCATCCTTCTTAATTTGATTTCCTCTAATTCGCCTGAGTGGTCACGTAAACGTTTCGGTACCTTTCGTGTCGTCGACACGTTTTTACTCAAGGACTTTGAAGGTCGATTGAACGATGAGAGATATAAGGCTTTCGCTTTAATAAAGTAAAAAACATTAAACGCTTTCATCACGCAGACGTGAACGCGAGTACACCTGTGTGAAGGGCAAACCTTAGGGAAACTTCTAACCTAACGTCAGCTGTAGGGGCGATGTTTGTAACTTCAGACAAATGCAGGTTTCATGTGTCACGGGCACTTCAATGCCGTGCGAGTGTCCATTTAGCGCACCATAGACCATTGTGAACAATGAAAGGAGATCGCTCTATTGCCGGAGAATATCAACGAACCTCTGTCTCACCCAGCTGCAGTAAGAATATGTGAGTGTGAGTGTCCTTGAACTGTTCTCCACTACACGTCGAGGTCGATTCATAATCGAAATTCTATATTGCACCGTTTATCACATCTTCAACTGCAAAAAAAAGATAAAAACTGTTTTAGGACATTGTGCATGAAAATGAACGATACCGGTTATTCGATTAATTTATCGATTAAAAGTCGACTATTAATTTGGCTAAAACTTTTAACCGACGCCCAGCCCTAGTGAAGACCGCTGTGCAACCCTTCATTCCCTGAAGGGGTGCACAGTGGTCTTTATGGTCACGCGCTTCTTGCTTGTGTTCTTGTCGGCTAATGCCGCACGCAGTCTCATTTTATGTGAAGCGCTAATTGGATGCTTGTGGTTAGCCTTGCATTTCTTCAGTTGAGTATAATTATAGGTAGAATACTTCGTGATTATAACTCTCATACTTTCAAATTAGAAGTCAAGCCGTTTTGTGATTTTCTTCTTCTTACTTAATTCGCAAATTTTCCTTCTCTTTTATTCTTACAGGAAAATACGTCCCAGCCGTGGCATACGCTATTCACACGGCCGTCCAGCCCAGAATCCGAATCAACCTCAAGGGCATCGCCATCGGTAACGGTGTGGTGGAGCTGGAATCCATGCTGGACTATGCAGACTACCTCTACCAGCTCGGGCTTGTAGACTACAACCAGGCCGAAATAGTTCGCCAGTGGTGCGACAAAGCCAGGTACTACATCGAACACAAACGCTACGCCGACGCTGCAGAGATATTCGATCATGTTATTCTATGTGGTGGCAATACGACATGCTACTTAAAACAAGTCACCGGGTTCAACAACATTTTTAATTACTTACGAGCAAATTGGCCAAAAGAGCTGGGCTACTACGTAGAGTTTCTGCAAACTCCTAAAGTTCGAAATGCGATCCACGTTGGGAACATTTCATTTAGCTCTAGATCGTTGATCGTTAGGGCGCATCTGTATGAGGACATAGCGAAATCCGTAAAGCCCTGGCTAGCTACTTTGATGGAAGAGTACAAGGTGCTGATTTACAACGGCCAACTAGACCTCATCGTCCCGTATCCACTTACCGTCAACATGATCTCAACCATCAAGTGGTCGGGTGCGGAAGCATTCAGGAACGCACAGCGGAAGATTTGGCTGTCTCCGAACGGGCAAGATGTGTCTGGCTACGTCCGACAGGTGGGTAATTTAACCGAGGTACTGGTGAGAAATGCTGGACACTTAGTTGTTCACGATCAACCGGATGTGTCGTTGGACATGATTACAAAGTTCATTCGAGGACAGCCTTTTGCCCCAAGATGATCCGACAATAAATAAATCAGTTGCAATTTCTGTTCACTCTTAAATGAAACAAACTTTGCGACAAAAACACAAACAAACACATACTGCTACAAAAATAGGGGCTACCAGCGAAAAAGAAAAATTATAATCAGGTGATAAGAAGTCAATATAAGCTTAATCCTGAACGTCCCGATTCACCTGAAAGAATAAAGTGATCAGGTTTCACAAAGGCCAAACCAGTGGATGTCTCAAGAAAGCACAGAAGCTGCAGATACTTAAAGAAAAGGACATGGGAACGAAGGGCCACCCTCCCCGAGGAGTCTAAATTAAGCCGCAGCTACACTGCTAATACACCGTACATGCAGATCATTGTTACATTAATCTTAAAAAAAACTGTCTGCAGACATGTTAAAAGCATGTCTGAATCAAACATGCTTCGAAGATGCTTGAGGCGCGTCCAGAGATAATTCTATCATCATGTCTGCAGTCAACATCATGTCTCTTGCAATAGACACTTCGTAGAAACTGATTCATTGATAACACGTTCTGTGAGAGTCCCAAGAGGACGGCAAAGTCTTCGGTGGCACACCAGGCCTGGAAGACGGCCGATATGTTCAGATGTACGCCTTTACACCCTTGTCATACATGACAGACTCATGGTGAATTCTGCTCGCAGATCTCGAGCGCTCAAAAAGCGTTGGAGCGCGAATATTCCTCTCGCAGATCTGCCTCCAGTTGGTCATCTTCCGCTCGATAGATGTCTGGCAGCGCCCGCCCCGTGAAGCACCTTTAACACCGCCAAACTTGATCCGCGGGATTTCAGGGAGCTTGGCGGAAGTTGACAGAAGCGCGCTACGTCATTTTGTCTAACTTGACGGTGCGCATGCGCGGTGAGGTTGGCGAGGTCGCCGCAGTCGCCGGACCGGCCGGGCAGTCTAGTCGGATCTGTTCAGATGCGTCGGTTGTAGAAGCGTGGTAAAGCGTAAGCGCTGACATCTGTGATCGTGAGAGGAAGGACGAGAAAAAGAACGTCCGAAAATCCGAAGGAGGCTGACGCAACACTCTCAGAAATAGGGGGTGTAGGCGGTACACCCTTTTGTCCCATATGTAACACCACAAAACAACGATTCGACGTTCAATCCACCCACGCTGAACCGACGATACTAACTTTCACGAGCGGCTTGGTAGTCGAGGGATACAAAATATTAAAATAGTTAATGTACGCATTAAAGGGTCCAGTAAGACTATCGAAGTTTTCTTTGGCCCTATCGCAAGACCTCAGTGTTTTTCTTTTCTTTTTGTAGTCTTTGATACGCACATTAGCTATTTAGTACGATATATCTAGCAGCTATCAAGAAGCTCGTAAAAGTTGGTATCGCCAACTCGACGTCAGTGGACTGAACGCCGAAATGTAGTTTTGGGGTGTTACATATCGGACAAAGGGGGGCCGGACCTCTATACACCCCCTTTTTCTGAGAGTAAAGGTTAGGCCTGTACATTTTGCAGTGTTTACCTTTTTACACTGCATGCCGCCGGCGTTTTCTCGTGCAATAAAGCAAAAACAGGTTAGGCAACGACCGCGCAAGTGATGGTTTGTTACCTCTTTGTGTTTATTAAAGTCTTAGCAGCAACCTGAATTCCAACATTGGCAATCGCTGTGCGTGCCCCGGCACTGCGAGGCGGCCGAAAGGTATGTGACGTAAAGCCCCTTCATGTTATAAAATTAGCGCAAGATGCGTCGATGCACGAGGCACTTCCAACGTGCAGCCCTTGGGAAGATCATGGCGGCACAGCGCAGCACTGAGCCAGATTTTAGACGCCATGTTCTTCCCAGAATTTGTGCGCGGCACGTGTCTCGAGCATTACCAGAACAATGAATGGCGCCACTTTTCCCAGGACAGAGGGGATTTAATGGGACGGTGGCGAACGCGGACGAATTCCTCATTATTTGTGGCACGGCGGGCCAGTGCCGCGTGTTTTTCCTGCAGCTGAACAGTGACAATTGTGCCTGGTCGTAGGAAAGCTGAGTCGGCTGAGGCGTTGGTCGGCTTGTCAAGTTCTAGCAGCGGCCATCTTGATCGGCCCACCGTCTCGGGGCGGGGGGGTTATAAATGCAAGTTAATCTTCCGCTCGTCGATTTAGGGGTATCCACTCAAAGGGGAACTTCGCGGACGGATGTCGTGACGTCAGCGACCCGGGAAACTCCGTCATCGGCTCTAGCATTCACACGGATGGCGGGCAGCCGTGGGGAATATCATTGTTACCAGCCGATTTTAGCGGTCGCACTCTCGACAACAACGCTCGGAGCATGCTGAAGAGAGTGCGCGCGCCGTAGTCGAGAGTAGGAAAATGAAAGCGCAGATGAAGCGGCGGTATGCCGTTATGGCAGCAACGCTGCTAAAGGGACGACGACGACATTCTTGACAAAAAGAAGGTTCCGGGTGAAAGGATGGATGGAGAAAAAATAACTTGGTATACGGAACCAGTTGTACGAAGAGCTGCTAGAAAGCGACTCCGTGGAGTATCGACGACTCCTTCGGGTGCCCCATGACGTCTTCGTCGAACTACTGGGGGGCTGGCTATGTTGCGCTTTTTGCACTCCCAGGAGACTAGGGAGAGGGAAGTGACGTCAACAACGCAGCAAATGCAGATTCGATGTTGATTTTGTTTTCTTCTGTCAACATCCAATCTGCGTTTGCTGTATCTTTGACGTCACTTCCCTCTTCCAAGTCTCCTGGGAGTGCAAAAAGCGCAACATAGCACCCCTGGCCCGCGTGTGCCTATCAGCGTCGCCATTCATCTTTGCCGTTCTACCACCGCGCTACTATAACAGTAATGGCGCAGGCGATTCCGAAAGCGCCAAAAAAACGCGGTGGCCCCCGTGGCCATTTTTGGCGCCGCGAGGCGTCAAAAATGGATGATGTATGTCTCACGAGCCTGCGCGATCTGCGGAGGAAGGTGGCGGATTTCTCCTTCGTGTGGATACCGTATTTGGAGGGGGTCCCACGGAGCGCAATTTTTCCTCCCTCGCGGATTCTGGAAAGCGCTCCGGATCTACAAGTGGAATTCACAAATACTTAACCCAAGACGGTGCAGAGGATGACCTTCCGATCTAATCTATTGGGGGTCCTAATTGCGACGGCGCCAGATAGTAGCTTCTTAGAGTCTGAGTTCATTGGAGACACGTCACCTGTTGTCTCGAGGGTCACCCGGGAGGTTCATAAAACAAATGTGCTCTAAAGTATCTTCTTACACATATAGTGGCGCACGAGACTAAAAGAAGAAGAAAAAAAGATTGTAAAAATCACAAAAGTGATTATCAATGGATGCGATAGCATTTATCGTTGCACACCCAGGCAGGTGTTGGGTTTCGACGACCAAGAACCGGATCACGTGGTCTGAATTCACGACAATTAAGTTGTCGTGATCACTGTGCGGCAACACCCACTCCGTAATCCGCTGCTGTGGCGGCTACGGCCGGGTCAGTCAACGGACAGACCCGGCCGTAGCCGCCACAGCAGCGGATTACGGAGTGGGTGTTGCCGCACAGTGATCAGCAAGGTAAGTCGAAACCAACCTTTTGCAACCGACGAGTTACGGAGTGGGTATTTGCCTCACTGAGGACTTTGGGGTAAAGTAGAATCCCACAAACTGTAGAGCTTATATTTCTGCCGAGCCACTCAATTCTACTGGCCAGCCAGTAAAAAAGGAGTACACTCACCGAAACACTGTGTCGTATGGTAAGCCTGTAGTCCCCTTCAGGACTTGAGACACAACCAAAAAGCACAGGAATACAACACGAGATTCTGAGACATAACAGAACAACAAAATACAGGTTTTAACACCATACAAAAGCTGCCTCACATGAGCGACACCTAAACCAGCGACAGTTGCTTGGCCACCCTCCGTCTATTACAGAAAACAGTATGTGATGTCGCACTCAGTCATTATTTTTCTAGTCCTACAAACCTCTCCCAATTAAGATGAACCTGACACAGGCTCCGCAAACATTGTAGACTCTGCCATTACTAGATTTTCAAGTTCTAGGGTAAGTGACAAGTTAAGATTTCAATAATGGAGGCTCACAAGCATTAAGCACCTGCTTCAAGCCCCTCCACTGTCGAGAAAACCCTATGCTATCCGCTTCGAAACATGGGCTTCATGCAGAAGAGAGATTGAAGTGTGCTGCTGATTTAGTAGAACTACCGTGCATTCTGTTAATCAACCATTGCTTAGCCGATTCACTATGCGACTCATCGTGACGACGAGACTTGGCCAAGGCAATACGTTTTACAGATAAGTGTTTACTAATTTGACGGGTGTCATTTTATTAGGCAGCCTTATTTATTTGCTCTTTAAGAAGCAGATGAAGAGCATTGAGGAGGAGCAAAACACAAATAGTGCTATGGACAACAAGTCGAAGATGCAACAAGACAAGCACTAATTGTGGTTCTTCAACTTGTCCCTGTACTGCCATTGGTGTATCACTATTGTTGAAGCAACTTGTCAAGCAGTTCAATTTAGTACCAGTGAAGCGGATTTTCAGTGGCTATGTCACTCAAGTACAAAACATGCAGACAACAAACCGTTTTCATGGTGATGACCACATTTTCATGTCATCACACAAAAATCACCCCAAACAAAAGCTAATCCTGCACTTTTGTTCCATGGTCTATGCATCATCTGAAGGCGCAGTCTGGAAGGCTACACCGCAGTTCTTTTCTTGCGTTACACTCCCCGTTTCAACAAGGCTACCAATAAATGTTTCAGCGATACAAAAAAAAAATTCTCTGGATAACAGCAATGCAGTCCTAGTCAAATTAATAAACTGAGTAACAAAAATACCATAGAAATTGAAACTGAGGGCCACAAAGAAAGAAACGAGGAAGTAATGCGATAATTGTATCAGGGAGCGGCAACAGTTCCGGGAAGATCCGCTTTAGTTCTTACAGTATCATCAATTTCCTCATTAGGCAGCTGTTATCAGTTTTGGCCACTGCTCATGAATCATGTCTTAGAGTGAAGCACACTGTACAATGGCGTGATGGCGT